ACTGTTTCAACCTTTGCCGTTAATATCAGTTTCTGTAAACCCACCTGCAGAAGGAATTTCTCCTTGGAGGCCTTGGGACATGTAGGCATATGTGCTGAGTCATGCACAGTTTGAATCTACCAATGTTGTAGATATGATGTGGGGAGAACTATAAAAACTCGATTTCTGTAACTCAGGGCCCAGAACTTCAGAGCCCTTTTTCCCCTCTGAGTTCACTGGGATAAATAAGAGTTCTCCATCTCTCTTGAGTAAATGCTTCATCTCTTGAGTGCCTGATTTCTATAACAACTTCAGGGGATCTGACATCCTCTTCTGGTCTTTGTGGCCACCTGTATTCACATGTGCATAAGCAGACACACGTACACATCATTAAAAAATAAAAATAAATCTGAAAACAGTGTATAGAGGAGCTAGGCTTGGCAGACATAGGCTTGTAATCCTAGCTACTTGGGAGGCTCAGGGAGGAGGAGTGCATATTCAAGGCCTGACTAGGCAACTTAGACTTTCTCAAAATAAAATAAGTGCAACAGGGTACTGGAGACATAGCTCAGTGATAGAATCTAGCTTAACATGTGCAAGGCCCTAGGTTCAATCCTAATGCTTTAAAAATAGTCTATAAAGGGATATACGTGAAGCACTACAAATACTATACAATTTTATAAATGGACTTGAGTATTCCCAGATTTGGGTATTTCGGATGTCCTGGAACAACCCATCCTGAATACTGATGAGTGAGTATACAAAGACTATTAATATGTGTTTTGGGAGGCCCAAGCACTCAGTGGGTAGCTTCATTGGGTATGATGAGAAGCAATGTTGGCAAATATAGGGATTATGATTATCTAGCTATTGTATTATGTTTACTTATTTTGAATCTAATAGTCATAGTTATTTCTGCCTTTTGAATAAAAAGTAAAATATTTTTTCTAAAATATTGAAAATCAGACTATTTGCAAATTTGTTAGGATACTCATTTGTTAAGATATTTATAAAAGGGGTTGGAGAGGTGGCTCAGTGGCTAAGAGCACCGGCTGCTCTTGCAGAGGACCCAGATTCAATTCCTAGCACCCACATGGCGGCTAACAACTCCAGTTCCAGGGGATCCAACACCCTCTTCTGACCTCTGCAGGCACTGCAGAACACAGGTGCACCTACCTACATGTAGTCAATATGGTCATACACATAAAAAGAAATATTCTTTAAACAATATTTATTAAAAAATCCTATTTCTTCTTTTCAGGTTGTAAAGTGATGAGCAGTTGACAACTGGATGTTTCAGTCTACCAGAGCAGGGAAGCCCTGGCAGCAGGAGCTGGAGGCCGCTGATCACATTGAATTGAATTGAGGAAGCAGGGAAGCAAGCATTCATTAGTGCTTGTGCTCAGATAACGTTCTCCTTTTTTATGTAGTCTAGAACCTCAGCCCATGGAATTGGTGCTACCTATGTGTAGGATGGGTCTTCCCACTTCAATTAACCTAATCTAGATAATTCCTCACAGACGAGCCCACTCCTAGGTGATTTTGGGTTCTTTCTAGTTGACAATATTAAGCATCACTGGTGAGGAATTGGTGACTCAAAGGCAGCTCTATCACCAAAAAGCCCACCTCAGCATGGGTAATGACTCATGAAAGCTGTCCTTGGTGTCTACTACCCAACTTACAAACAGCATCTCTGAAGGGTCTCCCCTCCTCAGCAATTATTCACTGCTTTTATAGCCTAGAGGAGGGACCTATGAATTTTGTCACTTTCCTGGCTTCCTTCCCAGTCATCTGAGCCTCCCTCTTTCACTCCAGGAGGGACAGTTTGAACGCAGAGGAAATAGTTATACAACAGTCTTTTCACACTAAAAATGTATTAATAGTTTTTCCAAAATTCAAATTTACCTGGGCACCCTGTTTTTTGCAAGCCAAACTGTTACCCAGTCATTACTCTCTGAGTTTATTCTATGAAAGAAGAGTTTAAATTACATTTCTTAATCAGAAAACTCCAAGACTTCATGTGTTGTCTCTTTTTTCAGGCCTATTTGTAACATACCTGAATTCTGAGCATTCATTTCTTTGAAAAAAAAAAAAGGCATCACCAATGCAGCCAGATGGCCCATCTTTTCTTCTAGAAGCCGTCTGTATCTCTCTCTTGTGTTTTTATGTGGCTACTTTCACCAGTCCAAAGTCAATACCTCTAGGGCTTCACATCACTCTGACATCTGCTGTCTCATCTGACTGAACCTCAAGAATGGTTTTTGCTTTTAAAGGCTCTTATGCTCAGATTGGACCTCCTTGGGTAATTCTAGATAATCTCCCTATTTAGGTCTCCAACCTTAATTACATAAGTTAAATCCTTTTACTTTACAGTGCAAGAAGCTTGCAGGTTTCCTGGACTGTGGTGTGGATATTTGGTGGTGAGGGGTCCATTTTGCCTACCACAGCCATTTTTCAGTGTGACCCTCTCTGCTCTTACCGGAAACTTTATTCACTTTTGTTACTGCAAAACAAATCCTTCAACTGAGTTTCTAAGGGAAAGGGTATAAAAGGAATATTGAAAACCTTGCACATGTGGCAATTTTTTTAACCTCTTTCATCAATTTCAAGATTGGAAACAAATTTCGTTCAGAACCTTTTATTCATTTTTAGAAGCCCAGTGCCATTCTGACTCCTGAATCTTCAGAAATGATCTATGTTTTTCTTTCTCTGGATGCTATCCAGACTTCTCTGATCCATGTTATTTGATATTTTATGGTAATGCATTTTTTTATATTTTATATATTATTTTTATGTATATTGCCTGCATGCGTGTAAGTGTAACCGTGTCCATGCAATGCCCATGGAGGTCAGAAGAAGGCGTCAGATCTCCTGGAACTGGAGTTAAGGATGATTTTTAGCCACCATATGGATGCTGGGAATTGAACCCAGGTCCTCTGAAAGAGCAGTCAGTGCTCTTAATCACTGAGTCATCTCTCCAGTACCTGGTACTACATTTTTGGCTTGAATAACTTCATCTATGAGTTGAGAGTGCGTGTGCTGTTTGTCCTCCAGTTCTGAGACCTATTAGCCTGGTTTTCTTTGTGAAAATTCTTTTTCATGTTTGTTCTACTAGCTTTAGCTATTCCAAGTTTCCTTGCCTAGTTGCCCTAGCTCGAATCTACAGAACAATATTGAATAGAAGTGAGAAGAATAGATATGTTTGCCCTATTCCTGATTTTAGTTGAGTTTATTTTTTCATGATTACAAATGGTGCTAACTATAACTTTTTAAGATACCCTTTATTAGACTGAGGAAGTTCCTATCAATTCCTACCTCTTGCACGTGTGTGCACACTTGTGCATGTGTGTGCACATGCGTTCACGTGTGCTACCATGAAAGGGTGTTGAAATTTTGTCAAATGATTTGAGGCTGTGGGCCTCTAGGATGGGAGAAGGGAGAACATTAAAAAATCCCTATTTGGGGCCTTTTTAAAATAGCATTCTGCCCCCCAGCCATAGGCAGCAAGTCTTCATTTCTTTTTGTAGCATATGGGTTCCATTTCTTCCAAAGGTAGTCCATTTCCTCTGGCATGCAGTGAGTCACTCTGTAAGTCATTCAAGGCAAAGAAAAGAGGAGGTTGTGGCACCCACTCTCATCACAGCCAATCACTAATGACAAAGCCATAAACCCAATCTCTGCTATAGAAAGGGTACATAGACACCTTAAGACCAATAGTAAAATAAAGCAAGGGGAAATCCCTGGGTAGGACACTCTAAACCCTAATAAAATTTGAAATCCCCTTAGAGTTGGTGGTCTCTCCAGCTCTGCAGGCCCCCTTCCAGATTAGTCTGTAATGTTTGCCAATAAACACTTTGTACTTTGCCTGTGTCATTGTCCTGTCTTTTAATGTTTTAACTAATGGAGAAATTGAGCCCACCTGCTAGCTGGTATCAGCTTTTCCTTCATCTTTTGAGGATCATTTGATTACTGCATTTTGGTTCATTAAAATGGGTTGCTGTAAGATGTTTGGATGCTACACCAACCTTAGATTTGTAAGACAAACCACACCTGGTTATATCGTACAGTTCTTTTTCTGTATTGCTAGATTTGTTTGTTACTAGCTTGCTGAGGATTTTTGTATAGATGTGTCGGTTTGAAATTTTCTTGTGATGTCTTTGTCTGGGGTTGTTTCTCTTTCATTTTCTTATTTTGTTTCTGGAGAGAGGGTCTCACTCTAAAGGCCGGCCGTTCTAGAACTGTGTTATCACCAGCTGTCCTCCAACAATACTGTTGCCTGCCTGTGCTGGGATCACAAGTGTGAGCTGCTATGCCAGGGGTTTTTTTGTTTTGCTTTCTAGAAAAGACATCATTGCAAATTACCCTAAATAAGCCACTTTAGGCAGATGTGAACTTTTGGATTTATGAAAGCCAGGTGCAATGTCTGTGGGTTCTGTCCTAGCTTCTGTCTCCATTCCTGATGCCAACTAATAAAATGTGGTTTTCATATTCCAAATATCAGTCTTTTGATCATCTATTTTAACTGCTCCAAATCTACTTTTATAGACTGATTAGTCAATATTCCAAAGGGCCTCTTCACTTCCTGAACAGCGCTTGGGATTTACCTCATCACCAACTCACCTCCCAACTGTAATTTGTCAAGAGTCAGATATCCTTAGTGGTTAGTCTCGGTTGCGCATGAGTGGAACCTAAGGCACAAGAAGGTAAGCTACACACACAGAGACACAGAAGGTAAAATTAAACCCAGTAGAGCTGCTACCTTCAGAGCCGGGTGGGGAGATGGGCGTCTGGGACGCAGGCGGATTTTAGCAGGGACCCCGAAGGTGGGCTTGGAACTTGCACCCCGGAGGGGCCAGGCGAGAATGAGGCTGTGCAGACTTTTGTTTGCTCTGTTAAGGGGATGGGTAGCGGGGCCAAACTTTCCCACGGCTCCGCGGGGCTGAGCGAGCCGGGCCTGCGCGGTTGGCGGGTGTACGCGGGGTCAGGCCCGGCGCCGCCCACGCGCGGCTCGTGGGAGAAGCGGGGCGAGCGGAGCGGGCGCCGGATCCCAGGCCGCCGGGTCGGGCTCGGGCGCAGCTTGAGCGCTTTCCGCGGGGTTTGGCTCCTGTCGCTTCCCGTCAACAGAACCGGCCACGCCACCGCGGGAGCCGCCGCCAGGGAACTCGGAGCCGGGCGGCCGGGCGGGGCGGGGGCGCGGAGCGGCGGCTCCGGGACGTGGACGCAGGTAAGGGCCGGCCGCACGCGGTGGAG